TGTTTTCAGGAAGCTTATATCTGACAAGACCATACCCGTCAGACTGCACCACGTCTCCTGACCGACGGCGCAGTCCTTGCCAGCCCGACAAGACTGCTTCCACGTCTCTCGACAGATGGTGGCGTGTCTGTCCTTCCGGGACATGTCACTCATCCGATTGGGTAGTACTCTGCAACGATCACCTGCGCAAGCCTGATAGATAACGGCTGCGACAGTGGTCTAGTGGTGATTACGCCCGATTTGACAAGAATGCTCATATATAAGAGCCTCCTAGTTGAAGGGAAGGGATCTCTCTCGAATACCTTATATCTCATCTTGAATATCTTGAACTTTATCTCGAGCTAACTCAGTGATCTAGCGCGACCTACACTCTTAGCCTTTTTTGCACTCTTTACTGCTTTCTCCAGCATTCTAACTTAAGCATCAGAGTATTCCCACCGGGCAAGTCTTCCGGGAATCATTCACCGTCTTCTTCTCAGGTACCGTCTGTCGCCAGCGAGGAGCTAGTCAACTGCCAGTTAGGAGTGCCCGGATTGCACAGCATCAGGTACCAAAGGATGGAGAAGGCCAAAAGGTCTGGAGGATGTGAGGATGTGGAAGAGGAAACCTCAGGAAAAATCCAAAATGATATCAATTCTGATAGTTGATGAAATAGGTCAGTTCGGACTTGAAGTTTAGAACCAAACAAAACCATCTTTGCAATAGGACACTTAAGGAACAAATGGCCTATAGTTTCCTCCTCTTTCATACATAGTGAGCAACAAGAGTCAAAGTTGTTCCTCCACACATTGAACCTACTCTTTGTGGGTAGAGCCTCATTTAAGGCACTCTAGAAAAAAAAATCATAATTTTGGGACAAGTCCATTTTAATTTCCAAAACTTGGCCCATTTACAATTCCCAAACAGGAAACCCGCATTTGATGAACAAGGAAGTTTCGAATGTAGGAGACGATGAACTGATGCAGTAGTGAATTGCCCGTGAGAAGTAAGGGTCTAAACAAGATGGTGCTCCATAACATTATTGTGCAATGGGAGATCTGAGGATAGAACTGCTTGAGCAGAATGAGGTGAAAATAATCGATTCACCAACTCGTGGTTCCAATTGATTGAGTGTTGGATAATGAGTTCTGAAGGATAGAAGTTGCGTCATGTGGCAGCCAAGGATGTGAGAGAGCATCAATACCCCACCCATTACCAACAATCCTGTGGCAACCTTTGCAAAAATGAGATCTAGATGCGAGGATACCCCGCCAAATATAGGAATCACCAGGTTTTGGCTTTAAATTCTAGAAGCTAGAATTTCTAATGTACTTTGCATGTAACATCTGCGCCCACAGAGAGGATGGGAACTTGAGCAACCTCTAATCCAACTTAATGATATGGGCTCCGTTAGTCGCTGCCATGTTACGAAAACCCAGCGCACGGCAGACTTTTGGTTGACAAAGCAAGGACCACTTACGTAAATGCACTCCAACCGAATCAGAATCAGCCCACCAAAAGTTTCAGCAAATGTTATTAAGGTCATTGCAAGTCTTCATTGGTAGTGGGTAGACCTGTTCATGGGCCAAGTGGCCCGATGGGCCGGCCCGGCCCGGCTTGGTCCTTGGATAGGCTTGAACAGGTATATAGGCTTGCGGGCTTAACTTCGGGCCAAAAGGCCCAGCCTGCAATAAATTCGAGCCGGGTTCGGGATTTGCCAAAATAGCCCGGCCCGAGCTCGGCCCGACCCGACCTATAAATAAACCTAAAAACTCTAGTTGAATACCCCTCTTTTTTTCACCTCTTTCCCTTCTTTTTCCAACCAAATTCTTCTTCTCCACATCCTCTTTCCCTTCTTTATATATATTTTTTAATATAAATAAATTCTGATTTGTATTGATTATTGAATAGGGAAAAACTTTAATTTTTTTATTAGGTCGGGCTTCAGGCTCGGGCTTCGAACTTTTTATTAGGGCTGGACTCGGGCTCGGGCCTAACATGTTTCTGTTAGTGAAGAGTAAAAGCCTGACCTGGCCTATGAACAAGTCTAATAGTAGGTAAGTGTACATGATGTATTGTGGAAGTGCTTGAAGGGTGGACTTAATGAAAACTGACCTACTGGCGTGGGAAAGAGTTGACTTTTTCCATCCCGATGGTTTGGACTTTAATCTATCAATTAAGTAATTCCACTTTTTTAACTTTTGCTCTCCTGATAGCATAGGACCGCCAAGATATTTATGATTAGCCTTCATTGTGGAGACACCAAATTTTGAAAGAACAAGGGTTCTTCTCAGTGTTAGCACTGAACTAAATGGCTGATTTCTGGAAATTGATCTCCTGGCCCGACCATTTACAAAATGAACTTAGCACATTTAAAATTTGATTAACATCAGAGTTGTAACACATTCCAAATACAACATGGTCATTGGCGAAAAGTAAGTGGTAAGCTTCACGCTAGATTTTCCAAATCTGAAACCATGGGTAAGATTTTGCAAACATTTGGTTTCAACATTCTTGAAAAGTATGGAGAAATTCGGGGAGGATATGCAATTTAAAATGAGGTTGTAGAAAACTTGAGAAAATCCGAAGCACATCAGAGTCTTTATGAGAAAGGCCCATTCAATCTTCCTTAAGAATCATGCATCTCTTGTAATCCAACTCTATTTCCCATCTAGAGAAATAGGCAATTCTGATGTTGAACCAAACAAACGCTTAAAACCATAAACATGGGATAATCGGGTCTGACTACTTGGGAACGCTAATTTTGATAATATAAGCTTACCAAAAAATGACAATAAATGTTAAACGGGTTTATATATTGCTAAAATAAGTAATTTTTATAAAATCATCTTATATACCAAACTAAAATTTTCTTTGAAAGTAAAATATAATAAAAATTACAAAAAAAAAACTATTAAACGTTTATTTATTATTAATTACATAATTGAATTGGGTCTTAATCGATTCAGAATAATAAAAATTGGTCCCAACCCAATTATAATCTGAATGCAAAATTCAGACCCAACCCATTAATTGATCCAAGTGCCACTGCAGGTGTTTATAGAATTTCCTTAATAAAGATTTCCACTATTCATGATCAAGTTATATACATTTTAATCAACATTCCTCATTTTTTTTTTCCGGCAAATTATTCTCCTGAATTAGAAATCCAAAGCTAAGGACAGAATCTTGACGACTTTCAACGTTCTTTCTACCTGCTGACAATGCAAGAACATTATTGACAGTGATTGGGTGCCATCATGTGCATACTTGGACGATCTCAATGTCTCATATCATTCCACCATTTGGTTTTTGCCCAATCAAGTCAATGGGTTTGGGTTGATAAGATGGGTCCAAAATTCCCAAATAACAGGTATATTTTCCAATTAAAATAAATTTAGGATTCAATATCAAATTTCTTGTCAAACGACATACCCAAGATAATAGATACAGATTTTTTTTTTTACCCATCCTCGTACAGGATGTATCTGAGCAGGCAAGAGGCGGGACCCATACAACATCCAATTACCAGATCCGCAATTGACTCCTACGAAAGGCCTTTCAGTAAGAATCACCGACAAACCGGGTTATTCCGAGTCAGCTCGGTGATTCTGTGGTCAGAGTGAGTTGGTAACGAGTGGTGATGGTGGAGTGAGTAAGCACTGAAGAAGACTACAAGCCGCAGCACAGAGTCGAGAGGTGAGGGTCGTGTTGTCTCCATCAGTTGACGTTGATTGACATGGTGTCGGAGTGGATTGAACTGATAGATTGCAACTGGGCGTTTTGGTGGTGTGAGTGGGGACAATTAGTGACTAAAATCATCTCTACTGTTCAGGATTTGAGGCCGTGTTATGGGCCACGTGGTCATCCGTATGGCTTCCCTGATAAGGACTCTTGAAAGAACGACGTTTCCTCTCCTGTCCAATCACATGTCATTGTCTTTTAACTCTTTCTTTTGGGAAATTTTAGAGTTCAGTCCTGGTATTCCAAAATTCATTATCAGTGTTCTCTACTTCTGTCCACCGTAAGAAGTAGCGGTTCATGGCTTGAACCTGATGCTCAAGTGCGGCAGAGATATTAAGTGGATTCCAGCCGGGTCCCACCACTCTAAGTAGGTCCCATCCAATAGCAGCCATTGATTTGGTGAAGGCAATCTCACTTCATTGCAAGATATGAAATCAAGAAAGTGGTTAAAGATTTGAGAAGTTATTATGCTCTGGGTAAGTATTTGGACGTTCAAATTAGTAAAGAATGTCGAGAATGGTGGGTAATCGGGCCAAGCAGTTAAGAGCAGTGCTAGTTCGAATAGAACACTTCGAAAGGGGGTTATCATTTTATAGTTAAAGATTCGTATCTTGTTTGGATGAGGCATCTGGCGTTATCGGGATGATGTTGTCTGTTAAAGTCTTTGGAATAAGACTTAATCCCCAACGGAGCTGTTCTCTTGATACATACGATGCTCTCCTATCTTGATCGCACTTATCTATCTAACATGGTGCCAACGTGGCCAATGAGATAAGATGGCCACGAAAGTGATACATAGCACCTGGGGCTGACTCAATCATAACCCAAACACAAAGCTGTTGTTTTATGGCATGAATTTGCAAAACATCCTTTGAATTGGCTGAAATGCACAGTTTGGACAATCAGATTTATCTAATTTGGAACTTTTATTGGTTTATGTCATCCAATGAATAGCCCACCGATTGAATTGAATCACTGGATAATATTAGTCATTCTAGAGGAGAGGAGATAGGCATCAGAGGATCCCTATCCCATCTCTGTTTAGTTGGTTTGATGTCATGTTTTAAGTGCATTTTTTGTTTGGTTAACAATAGGTACTGAATTGACATATTTTAAAAGTTTAGGTATTGAATTATTGCATTTTAAAATTTGGGAGTCAAAGTGACATTAACCCAAATTACATGTACCAATCAAGAATTTTGCCTAAAATATATGGACAACAGGAAAAAACAATAATGCACCTTGGTCAACTCATGTGGCTTCATATTTGGAAGTTAAGAGTGTGAATCACAGTCAATTGGAATTGGAATCAAAATGAAAATGGGAATTAAAATCAACAGAAATATGGAATTTGATTCTTAAGAGAGGGGCAGGGAATGGCCGTTTCCTCAACTAAAATGGGGAATGTCATTGCAGCAGGAATGGGAATAAAATTCCAATTCCGCCCAACCAAACAGTTGAAATCAGAATGGGTCCGATTCAAGACCCTTATTCCCGTGAACCAAACGGGGCGTAAGATTGTTCTCCAGCTTCCACCTGCGGAATATTACAATAAGAAAACGAAAAATGAAATAGCAGCAAGTGAATCAACGAAAATTGTGCTTGCCAATAGTTTTTTTTTTTTGAACATTTTCCTCTACTTGAGATCATCAGAAATATGTTGAACACATTTACCCAATGCCTATTCAGATAAAATGGTTTTACCCAATGTCGGTCCTGGCCATCAATGGTGGATACAAAATATTTGGCATTTCCTTGCATGAAGAGGTCACTCTCAGACTCAAACCTGTTCACGCACTTGTCACTTTATCAGCCCAAGATACTAAAAACAAAAACTACTCTTCAGAATTCAGGAACAATATAACAGTTTAACTCCGAAGAAGCTGAAATTCCACTTAAAAAGAACAGAAGTTAAGCAGAACCCCCATAAGAACACAGATACAGGAATAGAAATCTAAAACATATCTGTGAATCCAACTTGGTGAACCCAAAAAAGTGGGATATATAATTGCTGGTGCAGTTTTCAATGAAATGTAGTTGTTGGTGCAGATTTTCCTTCCAGACGTGCCCATCGTAATGGTTATAAATATAATTACACAAGTTTTTTTGACAGCCAATTATACAAAATTTGTTTTATCTATTAACTTTTTTATGCATTTCTGCAGACAAATTGGATTAAAATAATGCTCTTTTCTTTGTCAATTTTAATTTCTGTTATTTCACCGGTAAAATATAAAGATCTTCAATTTGGAAAATCGAAACAAAGAAAACCATCTAAGTCATCCATTATCTTTAGCAAAAATGAAAAGTTCTTCTAAATGGATCAACTAAGTTACAGAAAGAACAAATTTTCCTCTAATTCGATAACTTTCAAATCAAAATCTATCTTCCATCTTCCAAAACATAAGCAAGAAATTAGGGCAAACAAACATAAAGTTCAGATCTTGTATAACTTCTATGAAATATAAAGATGAAGGTCATCCTGTTTAGTCAATATTTGTCAACATCAAATCGAAGGGTATTTCTGTGGCAAAACCAGTACAATGAACTAGGGATAAATAATACCCAATCTGGTGCTGAGGTCCTGGTAATAACACCCAACTAGCTGCACTTTCCACAATTAATTTGAACTATTCATGACAGAGTCCCATTAAGTTGCAGGGGAAGAGATCAAAGAGATGATGGAGATTGCAGTGAGAGAGAATGATGAGTTACAATTCAATAAACAAAGTACCCATTGGGTAACTGTGAGCCTGTTACTGAACCCATAAAAAGATGTTTGCTTTTTGGAGGGATTTGATCCAGTTGGTTTGGGAATTCACACCCCTATGTACAACAATCTGATTATTTATTTCAGTTCCTGATCAAAGCACAAAAACAGAGGATCCAAGATAAAGTATTTATACTTCATTGATAATACTGATTACACTATACAAGATAGAAGCCTTCCAAGAAACCCTCGACTTCTGATTGAGCCTCAAAAACACTTAGCATGTTCTCCTGACCCTTTTATCTATCTAACTTTGCAATATAATACTTCAAATTCATCTCTAAGAGTCTTAACTGTTTTCAAGTTTTGCCTTAGCTATAGAACTGTAAAGTGAATCACAAGGACTCAATCCCAATCCTACCATCTCATTGAGCAAAACCTCAGCTTCTTGCCATTTTCCATCCTTACAAAGGATACCAATGGTCAGACTATAGCTAGCCATGTTTGGGAGCATTCCATTATCGTGCATTTTTTCTAGCAACCTCAGCGCTCTATAAGAATTGCCTTCTTTGCAGTAACCATAAATCATTATATTGTAGATTATATCATTAGGCTTCAAATGCACTTCACTCATTGATCTAAACAGCTTGGATGCATCCTTCATGTTACCTTTGACACAGAACCCATTTATCAGGATGCCATAAATATAAGCATCTGCCATCAAGCCAGCCTTCTCCATAGAGGAAAACATTTCAAGGGCTTTCTCCATGTTGTCTGATTTGATCAAAGCATCAATGAGAATACTATATGTTACTTTTGAAGGAAATATATCCCTCTCCTCCATTTCTCTAGCAAGAAAGGCAGCTGTTTCAAAATTTCCAATTCTAGAAAAACCTGCAATTAAAACATTATAAGTAACCAAAGATGGAGATTGGCCAGTTGACCTCATCTTATCAAACAATATCGATGCCTTGTCCAACTTTCTAGCTTTGCAAAACCCATCAATTAGAGTGTTGTATGTGATTGAATTTGGACTCAATCCAGCCTCCTTCATCCGACTTACCAACTTCTCAGCTTCCACGGGTTTCCGTACTCGACATAATCCACTAATTAGTGTGTTATAAGTGACAACATTACAAGCAACACCTCTCTCATGCATTTCATCAAATAATTCAAATGCTTTTTTCAGATTACCATCCTTACAATACCCACTAATCACCGAATTGTAAGTATAAATATTAGGAAGAGTCCCCTTAAGTTTCATCTCTTCATAGAGCTCAAACCCTTCCTTGTTAAAGCCTTTTCTGAAACACCCGTTAATCATGGTTGTATAAGTGAACTCATTGGCAACCAAACCCAGCTTCTCCATCTTAGAAAATAACTTCCTTGCCTGATCAATGTCGCCGTTCTTGCAACACCCATCAATCAAAGTAGTATAAATGACTACATTTGCGGACCAGCCCATCTTTTCCAATTGAGATAAAAGCTCAAACCCCTTACTCAAATCACCAACCTGACAGCAACCCTTAATCATTATTCCATAACTGTAAATATCTAATTGAGTTCTACCCTGTGTTTCATTGAAAACGCAACAAGCATTTTCGAAAGAATCCAACTTGAGAAGATGAGTCAATAGGTTATTGAAAGTGCTTGGACTGGGTACCAGGCCACGGTTAAGCATTTCAGTGAAATAAAAGAGGGATTCTTGAAGCATTTGAGATTGGATAAGAGCACCGATGATTGCTTCATATAAAAGAATAAGAAGTGAATTTGGACCCGAATGGGTTTGCGTAAAATGGTGGAGTAGAGATGGGAGAGATGAGGAAGTGAAGGAAGAAGAGTAAAGCTTGCCTGAGAGAAACCGTAGAAGAACGGACTGAGCTTGTGCTAACATGTTTGAGGAAAGGAGGAGGTGGAGGATAGCGGACGTGGACTCATTGGTGTGTTGGAAACCTTGCAGGATTGATTCGTTGAAGATTGAGAAAGCTTTGAGTGGTGGGCTTTTCACCATTTTCTGTATAAGATTGAAAGCTTGGTGGATCTGTGACATATTCGTGCCCTCTTCTGCCACCAAACTGGCTGAATACTAGTTCAGTAATTCTACCTTCCTCCTGCAAATCAAGTTCGAAGTATAAAATCTTATACCTGATTTGCTATCAACCATCAACTGAAAACAGTAATGGAGGGAAACTAGCATCAAACCTTCAAGTTCAGGGTCCTTGGAACTCTAATTAGCTCGAATAGCAATTTCAAAAGTAAAGCACGGGAGAGATCGAAAGAGAGGAAGATGGATTGGAGTCATGGAGGGATGAATTCGAGTCCAGCTGAGCTGCTTGGAGATGTTTGGAACGGTTTTGAATAGCCCTGCAAAAACAACCATATTAATCATAATCAACCTGATTCGCATGGAAGGTCTGACGGCTTGATCAGATGCCTGTGTTGTTGATTCAATCAATATTTTTCTTTTCTCGTCAAAATCTTTGCTAAGCAAATGGTTTAGGGGCTAAATGAACCCAAAATCACGGTGGAGTGACAGGTCTATTGATCAAACCAATTGGGTCAACAACTAATTAAAAACATTGCCCCGAATAAGTTTCGAAGACGCAAACTTGGGAGCATACTTTTTTCTCTGATAAATAAACTCGGGAGGATATTCTAGAAACAAAAACATCATATAGGTAATTGGTGAAAACCAGAATAAATTACAAGAAAAAATTATTTATACAGTAGATAAGCTAATTACCTCTATGTGGAAAATGCAGAAACAATCGCTCATGCTCTTTATATAAATAAATATGTCTATAAAAGATAGAAACAATTGCTTATGCTCTTTATAACTTGGCATCGTTCTAGATGTGTGTGGTTTATTTTGCATAAAAGCCAAAGAATTAAACAGAAGTGGCTTTCTTGAATGGATTAAATTGGTGAGTGATGGCATTGAATTTTTTAATTGAAATTGATATAGGAGGTGTTTGGTGCATTAGCATTTTGTTGTACAAATTTATGAGAAATGTGTTATCATATATATGAGTGTCATTTCAACTAAAAAAAGTATGTTTAGAAACATCTAATTTGATGTTTTAGGTATAGTCTGTATAGATAACAACTCAAAAATGTTTTTTAGGTAAAAAACCTTTCTCACATAAATTTGTATGGATTAACAAAAAATGCATCAACAATACAACACCATTGTATCAAACACCCCTTGTAGTTTTTGGAAATTGTCAAAAACTCATGAGTTTTCAGCATTTCTCTTAAACTCATCATAACTTTTCAAAATGTCTAAAACTCATCATGTTACTAACTTGACGTTAAAGAGACTAACGGCTGTTAATATATTACCATTTTAACCTACATAGAAAAATATAAAATATATACATATATTTTAATATTTAGACATGAAAAAAAAGGAAAAAGTTCAAAAAATATTTTCAAATAAAAGCACAGAAATTACAGAAAAAATATAAAAATTATAGAAAGTGCCCACAAAATAAAAAATATATATTTTCAAATTATAGAAACTATGGAAATTGAAAAACAAAATCATAAAATAAAACTGGTAGAATAGACACCAAAAATTATAGAAAAACACAAAAATTACAAATAAATAACAAAAAATATAGAAAAATTTATAGATGGTAGAAAATAGAAAAATGTAAAAAAAAAACAGAAATTATAAAAAATATTAGAAATTTTAACAAAACACTAAAAATGTAAAAAAAAAGGAAAATTGAAAAATGAAAAAGACCCTTTTCCTCTAACTTGCCATTTAAAGGTGATTTGGTCATAAAAATTGTTATTTCTGCTGACATGGACACCTCTGTTATGAAACATTAACGATGTACTAATAGAAGGTGAGTTTTGGAAAATAAAAGCTTACTGACATGATGAATTTTAAACGTTTTGAAAAGTTGTGAATTTAAGAGAAATGCTGAAAACTCATAGTGAGTTTTAGACAATTTTTGCTTAACTCGCACAATGGATGTCAAATTATAAATGTTACATGCAGGAATTATCTGGAGATGAGTAGGATTTGAAGCCCAAATCACAAGACAATGGAGGGAAGAGCAATTAGGTCCTGAGTAGAGTTTCTTTGGCCACCATGGATGAGATGCTACCTCAAGATAAATGTAGATGGGAGGTTTCATAGTTCTGGTTTTGCTGCTTAGACTGCATTTGGTTGGAGTGCAAATGTTGAACCATTGCAAATTTGCATTCCTTTCGTAAGTATTCAAAAAATGCATTGGTTTTTTATTTAAAAATGTATATAGACCAGAGTTTGCATCGAATATAAGAGAGAATTTTGTTTTATGAAAATCAAAGCAAAATTTGTTATCTTTATCAAAGTAAATGGAACATAGTTTTGCATCATTGAAAAGTGAAACCCTCAAAGAGAGAAAGAGAAGAGAACAGTTTTGAACCACAAGAAAAACGTAATTGTAGCAATCTTTACCTTCGATCTTTGAGAACTGAGAGAAGTAACTCTATTATTTCAATCTTTGGTATCTCATTTTGATCTTTTTTTTTGGTGTTAGGTTGCCTATCTTGTTGGAAAATCTACCTTCATTTTGTAGGTAGATCTACATTCGTTTTCAGATGCAACTCTGATCTACCTTTGTATTTAGGTAGGTTTACCTTCGTTTTCAGAGAAGCAGCTCTGATCTACCTTCGCTTTTAGGTAGATCTACATTCGTTTTTAGAGAGGCAACTCTGGTCTACCTTTGTTTTCTGTTTAGCTATTTTCTTCTTTGTTCAGCTATTTTTCAGGTAACTAATCTACCACAATGTTAACCTACGTATTATTGATTACCCGTTGATTGTTTGTTATACGGAAAAGATTGTTATAAAAAATGATCTTGGCTTATCTATTATCATTTATCAATCAATGTTGGGCACAACATTTGAATTTTCACATATGGAAAACTAAGCAACCATGTGTTAAAGGACTCTTATGAGCCAAAAATGAATGTTAATAGGTGGTCCATTAACTTGAAAACTACACTCAATTTTGAAGTACTATGTGTGTCTGATTCCAACTTTTGCTCATTCTTGCCTGTGAGATAAATAGGTAAAAATGTTCTCTTTTATGATTTATCGGATAATCAAAATTGATATATATTATATAGATGGACAATTTTTATGATTATAAATGTCATATGGGCAAAAAAAAAAAATAATGTTCTCTTATTTATGTCCTACAATGATTTTGATAGAAGATAAGAATACAAGTGTCAGTGGACTAGGTTTGGGTTGAAACCAATTTGAACAGATTTGTTGGTCTAGATATTGAATTGAATTGGTCCAAAATGATAGAAGATAAGAAGGAGCTTTTAGAGGGCAGTTGGAGGGAGGTTTTCAAGTGCTTGACTTCTATTTTAGTCATTTGAAAAGTAAAAATTATGAATTCAATGAATATCTTGTTCACCTGAATTAGAAGAATAGAAATTTGACTAAAAATCTGAGCACATCAGGGATAATGAGGAAGAGTTAATTCTTGGGGCAAGTAAATTTGGAGATGGAACTGTTTTCAATAGATTCCATTCTTTCATGTTCTCTAAGCATATCTTGCTGCCATTGTTTGTTTTCAATAGTAAGTAAGTTTGGAAAACAAAACCATAGGCTTACTTTCAAAACCCCATCTGGAAATCTATAGAAAAATTTATCCACTGGCAAGCAGGAATTAACTCTTGGGCTTATTTACTACAGAAAATCTACTAAGAACTTTTGGACTTGAATGTTTCTAGGTACATTATGATTATTTTCCATGAAACATTATGATTCTTTTCCATCAATCTTGCTTGGAGATGAAACTATTGCAGTTTGAGACGATTATGGCCATGAAAACATGTTGGTTCTTTTCCATGAAGAAACCCTGAATTTTCTTTTGAATAACTTAATTCTCTAATCCCATTGATCACCTTATTTCTTCTAGGTTATATTTAGGGCTTTTGTTTTCTTTTTTGTTCCCAAAAATGATTATTATCTCATATCATCACCTTCTCTTACATTGTGCCCCATTACAAATCTGATAGCATTTTTTGAAATCTATTGGTTGTTGAACATTGTCAATACTTGGCTTGTTAAGGGGCATAACTTATAATAAGAAAGGTATAAAGGTAACTCTATAGAACTTAACTTCATATCCTTTCCTCTGTACAAATCCTAATACTCTTTGCTATTACTCTATAATATTTTTAATGATACAAGAAATTAGATTCATAATCAACTCTAAAAAAGATAGGTACTGTAGAAGGATGTAACAAGATGAAGCTTATAGCCATGAAAGAACTATAACTAATTTGTCAAAGATCACTCAGCAATGTCAAAACAATGATGAAGTGATGAAATGATGAACTAGATGGTGGCCAACAAATCATCCATCAACTCTAAATGTGAAGTAATGAACCTATCCAACTTTGCTTGCATTCAATATGTAAATACAATTTTATTTGGTGCTACAAAAAGTCTGACTCAAATCTAACATAACTTTGATTCAGAATCCATTCCCAACTCAATTTTACTCATTTCCAAGGACAAGGCCAAATAGAGATGTAGATTTTATGCAATTCTAAGAACCATGTTCTGGGAAAAGAATGCTAGAATAATCTAAACCAGAGCAAGATCATACCAGGTAGCTGACTATCTGCAAAATAATAATAATAAAAAAAAAACAAAAAACAAAGGTTAGGTCAATATCCATTCCACCCCTTCCAAGATCCCATACAACTAGGACTTGTTTGTACAATAGCTAATTAGCTATTTCTCATCCCACATTCTTATTTTACTAATTGTTTGTACAATAGCCAACGTAGATTACTACGGGTTTAGTTTGCAACTAGATCCCATTACAAGAAAATCGGCCTTTAGCATTAGTCACAACTTTGTTGATAAATGCTAAAAAAATTACTCCTAAAAGTTTTAATTATAACCAGGTTAGTTGTTGTTGATAATGGTGTGGTTAAACGTTTCTAATTACAATCAATTGTTGCTAGTGACGATGTATAGCAACAGTCGATGTAATTGTTGTTAAGATTGTCTTTTTGCATGAAACCAAACAATGGCCCAATATTCATTATTTGGAACAATTACTATTGATTGTAAGTACAAAAGTAAATTTTGCAACAATTTGTTAATTGTAGTCATATATGTTAGTAGAAATAAGCACATTAATCATTGCTAAAGCATAGGCAACAATTGATCAATTATTGCTTATAACTATCTTTTGTAACAATTTTTATTGAAATAAAGACAATCATATAATTGTTATGAATTATTAATAAAACAATTCTAATTAATTGTTGTGAATATAATTAACAACAATTCTACAATTATTACCTATAATAATTTTAGCAACAGTAATTATAGACTATTATTAAATTAGCAACAAGTATATAATTGTTACCGATTTCACTAATTACTTTTCATTTTATTTAGTTACAATTAAAAATGGTTGTCAATATTGATTTAGTTGTTGTTATTAATATTTTTTAATTGTTGTAAATAATTTGCAAATTGTGGTTAATAGAAAATTTGCACGTATTCAAAAGTAATATGATTGTTGCCAATGATCACATAATTGGAACTATTATCAATATTAGTTTCATTTTGTTACATCCATATA